CCCCCTCCCATATGACATTGTTAAGGATGATTACAGAGTGACCAAATGTCTTCTCAGAGCACGAGGGCAGTAAGAGGTACTTCGATGCCGAGCCCAGGTAACCCCACCACGCGCGCGCGCGCACAAACACACACACACAGAGTTATCAGCACAGGAGACCAGAGCCCACAGTTCCCGGGTTTTTGTTAGCTCCTTCTTGCTGCTGACACCTGTGAAGCTACTAATACAATTCTAGGGGCTCTTTATCAGCCTACAGTTTCTCAAGGTTATCTGAATGCTAATGAGAGACTTGGTCTGATGCATCCTGAATCTATATTACTTTGGGATTACCAGAGTTCTTGGGAAGATACTGCAAAACAGACTATTTAATACTAATGTTCTCGAGGATTTTCATCCTTCAAAATTAATTGGAGAAATAACGGAACAACTTTCTAACACATTTCAGTTATAATACACACCAGTCCTGTCAAATATAACTTTCTCTGATGATGGAAATTTTCAATATGGTGAGTGCTAGCAACATGTAGCCATACCATTTTAATAAATTTATATTTACATGAAAATAAACACATAGGACTAGTGGCTAGATTTTATACAGTGCCATTCTATTCCACATTGTGCTAAAAAAAAAATCTCTTCCATCTAAAAGCAGAGATCATGAACAATAAGAATCAATGAAATAATAACAAATAGCGAATATGTACCATTTCAATTCTAGATGATATTCTTTGTATTTAATTCAATTAAGAATTAACATTCTTAAATTTTGTTATGGTCTAAGATCTCATGTTTAATTTTTTTTAAAAGATTTTATTTATTTATCAGAGAGAGGGCATACATGCATGAGCAAGGAGAAGGAGCAAAGGGAGAGAAAGAAGCAGATTCGCTACTAAGCAGGGAGCCCAACATGAAGCCCAATCTCAGGTCCCTGAGATCGTGACCTGGGCTGAAGTTAGACGCCTAACCGACTGAGCCACCCAGGCACCCTTCCTGTTTAATTTTTTAAGACTTTATTTATCCATTAATTTAAGGTACATTGGTTTCCCAAATGGGAAACCATGTCCCCACACATGCAGCATTCCCCATTATCAACATCCCCAACCAGAGGAAGGCATTTGTTATAGTTCATGAACCTACACTGACACATAATAACACCCAAAGTCCAGAGTTTACATCGTAGTTCACTCTTGATGTTATATATTCCATAGGTTTGGACAAATATATACTGATCTGTACCCACCATAATACACAGAGTATTTTCATTACTCTAAAAATCAGGGGCTCCACCTATTCATCCCTCCCTGTACTCTAACACATGGCCACCACTGATCTTTTCCCTATCTCCATTTGCCTTTTCCAGAATGTCATATAGTTGGGATCATAGAGTACACAGGCTTTTCAGATTGGTTTCTTTCACTTACTAATATGCATTTAAGATTCCTACATTTCTTTTCATGGCTTTCTAGTTCATTTCTTTTCAGTGAGGTACAAAATTCCATTGTCTCTCTATGCCACAGTTAAGGTATCCATTCAACTACTGAAGAACATCTTGGCTGCTTCCATGTTTTGGCAATTATGAATAAAGCTGCTATAAGTAGCCATGTGCAGATTCTCGTGTAGACATAAGTTTTTAACAATGCTGGGTAAATACCAAGGAATATGATTGCTGGGTTATATGGCAAGGATACATTTTGTTCTGGAGGAAAACTGCCAAGTTATCTTCCAAAGTGGCGGTACCATTTTACATTTTCACCAGTAATAAGTAAGAGTTCCTGGTGCTCCACATCCTCATAACCACTTGGTATTGCCCGTGTTCTGGAATTTGGCAACTGTAACAGGTATGTGGTGATATCTTAACATTGTTTTAATTTGCATTTCCCTGATCACAGAACACATAGCAGCGCATCATTTTATACTCTTACTTGCCATCCATAGATCTTCTTTGCTCAGGTGTCTGCTAAGTATGGACCCTGATCCATTTCTTTTTTAAATTAGATTTTCTTATTGTTGACTCATTGGCTTTGTTTCCTGATCTACTCTAACCCTAAATTGTTTATGTGACAATTAAAATACATTTCCGTAGAAGATGTATTAAGTGAATTTGATTTTATTTTCATCTTGGGTAACAGGTGCAGGCTTTTATCTTTATTTTGTCATTTTACAAATCAAATTAAGACTGTCAACATTTACTGTCTGCTACTGGAGATACCAGCGAACAGCCATCTGAGCGGACAGACAATGCTTCCCCGGGAGGCGGGGAGCGGAGACTGAGGTGAGGCACAGAGCACAGACAGGCTCTAGGGAAACGCCGCTTTCGGAATCGGCCATATCCTCCCACTTCCTTTACTCCTCATCCTCCTTAGCCCCATCTGAACAATGTCCAAGCATGTGAGGGAGGCACTGAGCCTGTGACAATAAAGATCGTGACGGCGATAAGCCTAGGGCTAGAAGGACCTGCCGGCACCGTCCTCACCCAGCAGCAGCACTAGCGAAGGACCTTCCAGGTTATCTTTTCTAACCCTCAAAGGTCTTGGGTTGTTCTGGGTCACGACTATACAATGGGCCTTCTGCTGGGGTAGTAAGTTGCCAGATGCGCTGTGTACTGTCTTTACAACTGACCAGCAGGAGGTCTGGGATTTAGCAACAGGAAATGCTCAGTAGCTCAGGACAGCAGAGACCATAAATTCTCCCCAACGAAAAGAGGGAGGGGTGGTGTGACATGCCAAAAGCCAAATCAAATCACGACTGTCACCTGTTTTCCTTAGTAACTTAAAAACAAGAACATCTGATGTGAAAAATTAATCACAGAAAGAGCACATCTCCCCAAGCCACCACTTTTTGTTTTAGTCAGCACTAGAACAAGCAAACTACCCTAAAGACATTCGTATGTTGGATTTTAGCCCTTTAACTTTCAACTCTCTGTTAAAGAAAAAAAAAGTAAAACTTTAGTAACTACATGAACATGACTAATTTTTTCCATTTTAAGCCTCAGACCACAAAATGCCAGTGTTGAAAATAAGCCAGTCCTGGTAGGATGTGGGTCTGTTGGTAGGAAGCCACACCCAGCAACCAGAAATTTATTATGCTCCGACAAGTTCATTTGAATGAGAACATTGTCATTGTTGGAGGAAACAAAGTAAATGTATAATAAAAATGTATTTGTGGAGCAGTTTCAACTCCTTGGATTTAGCTCAATTAGCACTACTAACGTGAAAGCATTCCTTTCTTACCTTCTTCCCTTTTTATTATGTGCATATGAAATCAGAAGAGAGCAAACCCAAAGAGAAAAAGTGGAGAAACTTAGACCCACAAGGAAGGCAACATGAAAACTCTGTCAATTCTTTACAATAATGGAAAATATGAAAAATTCCTCTTTAACAATGTACTTAGCCATTTTATCTCTCCACAAATTTAAATTCATCTCTCCACAAAAAAACCCACGTTATTCTCTTCTATCATCTCACTGATTCTTTTTTTTAAAAGATATTTATTTATTTATTTGTCAGAAAGAGAGCACAAGCAGGGGGAGAAGCAGGCTCCCTGCTGAGCAAGGAACCCCATGTAGGATTCGATCTCAGCACACTGGGATCATGACCTGAGCCAAAGGCAGACACTTAACCAACTGAGCCACTCAGCTGTCCTTTTCCCACTGATTCTTAAGCAGGGGCAGTTTTGTGCCCTCAGAACCCATTTGGTAATGTCTACTGAGATTTGTGGTTGTTACAACTGGGTGGGGATACAATGGTCATCTAGTGGGTACTTGGCAGGGATGCTGTTAATCACCCTACAGTGCGCACTACACCAGCGACAACACAGAATGACACCCCCACCCCTACCCCATGTCAGCAGTGCCTCGCTGGACAATTGCTACACTGTAGGGACGGGGCACCGAACTGGTACTTCAGGAGGGGAACGAGATGCAAAAGCGTTCAGGAAAGGCCATCGGCTGCCTCGCTCCATATGCTGCATCTACAGCAGAGAACACACTGCTAAGCTGGTGGAAGAGAATGAACCCTACAATTTGTGACTTCAGAAAGAACATTCCAGAGTGTGAAGCTACTGACCTGCTTACAAACATTAACATGCAACTTCCAGAACGTTAAGACTCGCAGAAATAACTGGCCGTCTGTGGATCAATGTCAACAAGAACAATACAGAATGGGTTCCAGAGTATTTGAAACTGGGACACCTCTCTTACCCTACTTCTGCATGGCATCATTTTTACTTTTTTGAAGTTTGTTGTTTTTTTTTTTTTTTTTTTTTTTACTTGACAGAGATATAGAGAGAGCACAAGTAGACAGAGTGGCAGGCAGAGGGAGAGGTAGAACCAGGCTCCCTGCTGAGCAAGAAGCCCAATGCAGGGCCCGAACACAGGACCCTGGGATCATGACCTGAGCAGACGGCAGACACTTAACTGACAGAGAGACCTAGGTGGCCCTGCATGACATCATTTTAACATGTTAAAATTAGGCAAGAAAAGGTCTTTCCAAACCTTATTATGGAAATCATTTTGCAACATATATGCATATCAAATCAGCACATTGCACACCTTCGACCTACATGACATCAGGTGGCAAGTCTATGTCAACAAATCCGGGAAAAAAGAATTTATTTTAGAAGAGAAACAGAAACCGGTAGTTATTCTCACGGTTCTGAAGGCACACAATCCCACTCTGGAATGCCACTGACACCATATGGGTAAACACAGGACACATGTGACTGTCATATAGCACCAAGCCTCTCGCTCACTCTCTTTTTAAACACGTATTTATCTGAGAGAGAGACCATGGGCCAGCAGGGCTGGCAGAGGTGGGGAGGGAGGAAGGGCAGAGGGAGAGGGACTCTCAAGCAGACTCCAAGCTGAGTGTGGAGCTGACGCGGGGCTCAATCTCACGACCCCGAGACCATGACCTGAGCCGACACCAAGAGTCGGCCGCTTAGGCGACTGCGCCCCCAGACGCCCCCACCTCTTGCTCTCCTTAAGGCGGCTGTGTACTCACGGGCTCGGTTCCGGCTTTTGTATGTGCAGGTGTAGAGGCTGCAGGGCCTCGCTGGCACGAACCTGGGGGTCTGGAATCTTCTCCACAGTGACTTGCACGGAGAGGCTTGAAGAATGACCCTCAGGCTACTCATCACCACCATGTTTAGCCTGGAATCCGGACCGGGCCCCGGATAACTTGCAGGAACCTGATAACCTAGAGGCAGGAGGACAGAGGAGGCAAAGCTGTGAGCAACGGAGACCGACCGTCGGGTGGAAAGCTCCAAGCGGGACAACCACACGCAGACGATGCGTCGCAGGGCAGGGCTGGGGCTGGGGGGGCGGAGGGGGAATGACTCAATACTTTATCCACTCCTCTTCCTCAAATTCATTCGTCACCTCATTGGCAGGATTTGGAAGACTGACTCAGGAGACCTGCCTTTCTTTAAGGTCGGCAAATATTAGAGGCCCAGAGAAAACATCTTCTCTTTATCCACAAGAATGAGAAGGCTGTTTATAGTAGTTTCTTAAAATTAAAAGAACATGTACTTGCTGAAATCCAAATTCTATATCCAGCAGGATATTTACACGTAAAAAGAAGCCGAAGATTAAAGCTCCTGGGTTAAAAAAAAAAATCAATCTGTATCTGGATGGCTTTAAAAAAACACAAGGTTCCATTCTGTCAAAATAGTCCTGAGTGGTTTTGAAATCTAAGCTTAAATGCTCTGTGACTCTCTGCAGTTTCAGGTATAACACTGTATCCCTTGGTCGTGGGGGAAATGGAGGTTAATCCTAAACTAATCTGTAAGTAGGTCCAACATGAATATTCATTTATGACTGCCCTGATGACGTCTCTACCCCTCTCGTGTTCCAAGTGAAGGTCTCAGAAAACAATGCTTTCCGGAGTGTTCAGAAATTACAATATTAACTTTCACTGACTCTTTCCTGCCACCCCCACCCAGTAATGCTACATCCACTTTTCCTGAAAACTCCTATCCCGGTAGCAAGTGAGCGAACAAGGTCAGAAACAAAACAACTTTCTTCTCCTGACTATACCTTCCCTCCAGTGTCGATTTCAAAGTGTTTGTTGTCATCACTTGAGATGCCTCCTGGCAGCCAATAGCGACACCATTTGGGCACCTGGGACGGAGGTCCGGCCGCCTGGCAGAGTACCCTGGCGCTGACCTCGCGGCCTCAGTCCACCCCTTGCTCCTGCCTGCACACCAGCCCCACGGCCTTTGGTTCTTCCCACTCCCCAAGCGCCCTCTGGTCTCAGGGCTTGTGCAGATGCTCCTCCTTCCCTGAACCCCCCCCCCCTTGCCTGGTGAATGCCTCCCCTCCCCTCGGGTCTTCCTTCCAGCATCCCTTCCTAGAAGCCTCCCCTGCCCCTGCACTCACCGCTAACTGGGAGAGCCCAGCGCCCTCTTCACCCCCCTCAGGGCGCCTCCTGCAGCCCCACACCGGATCCAGAAGGTACCAGATGACGCCCCTTCCCCAGCCACCCAGCCCCGCGGCGCTTGGACCCGGTCTGTCTCTGTCACAGCTGCATCTCTCAGGGACACGCTGCCTGGCCCGTGACGGCGGCTCAATGACCTGGGCACACTTCCCTGGTGATGGAGATGAGGATCCCGATTTCCAGAACTCCAGACCGGGAAGCGATTGCCAGCCCGTTCCTGCTCCATATGAAAGGCTCTTCCTAGATGCCTCCCCCACCCAGTTGTGGGGTCCTTCACACTTTCGAAACACTTTTCAGTGCTTGCCATTGCAGACGAGGGCCTCATGCCCCTCCCTGTAAGATCTGGAGGCCCCTAAACCTCCGCCCGATCTGAAGGAGGACCAGACCCAAAGACAAATCTAAGCTAGCATCACAGGGATGGGAATTCTGCCAGTAAATGTTTGCATTTCAAGGTTCATTGTCATTTCCTTTGTTCCAAGAACCATGTTGGGTGCTGCCATGCAAAGAGGAACAAGGCATGAACTCTACCTTGCAGGCAGGCCATTAGTTTCTCCCCCTTGAAGCCTCTGGAAACGCACATCATAACCCATCCAGGACTCCTCAGAGTCTGCCTTCGGCCTATCAGAGGGCACTCAACTGTCTGGCAGTGGTGGCCGGGGGAAGAGAGGGGCCCAAAGACACAAAAGAGAAACTGAGGGGCACTGAAAACACATGTCACTTACATACTGGAACTTTATTTCCAATTTCCAATTTTATTTAATTTTTTTTTTAAAGACTGCTCATTTGACAGATCCACAGCAAGAGAGGGAACATAAGCAGGGGATGTGGGAGAGGGAGAAGCAGGCTTCCCACTGATCAGGGAGCCTGATGCAGGGCTTGATACCAGAATCCGGGGACCATGACCCAAGCCAAAGGCAGACACTTAATGACTGAGCCATCCAGGCGCCCCTGGAACTCTGTTTCTGTATACCATCTTTCTGAGAAGACCGTAAGATACAAAAAAGCACATTATGATCCCCAGCAATGCTGAGCAAGAAGGCAAATGTTCGGGGCACCTGGGTGGCTCAATGACTTAAAGCCTCTGTCTTCGGCTCAGGCCATGATCCCAGGATCCTGGGATCGAGCCCCGCTATCGGGCTGTCTGGGGAACTTGCTTCCCCCCACCCAACCTCTCTCTGCCTGCCTCTGCCTACTTGTGATCTCTGTCAAATAAATAAAATCTTAAAAAGAAAAAGGGAAATGTTCACTTCACCCTCTCCTCTTCATGTACCTCACTACTACCTGACTGTAAACTAGATCTTCCCCACCGTATTGCTACCTCATACTTGCCAACTCTGAGGAAGAAGAAAGAAGGCCACACCCAGGGGAAAGTAGAGAAAAAAAAAACCACCCCTGAGCTGTGTCCACTGAAAGCAGAAAGCAGCTTCTTCCTATTACTGCCCTGGAAGGAACAAATGAGGGCTCCAGGAGGAACCCTTTATAACCAGCAACACACCACGTGTCGGGACAAGTACTGCAAAGTGAACCGTGGCAAGAGTTCCCTGTGGCAAGAACTGGCCTCTCAGCCCGGTGCCGGGCACTCTGTTGTATGCATCACTTTGACGGTGAACACACTCAAGGCAGGGAGTGAAAATGCACGGTGTGTTAACCAGCTTGGGCTGCTAGACCAAAATACCACAAACCGAGTGGCTTCAACAACAGACTTATTTTCCACAGTTTTAAGGGTTGGAAACCGAAGACCAACATTCCAGCCAATCGGTTCCTGGTAAGAACTCACTTCATAGCTTGTACACAGCTACCTTCTCACTATGCCTTTACGTGATGGACAGACAGCAAGCTCTGGACTCTCCCTTTTCTTATAAGGACACTAATCCTACCCTGGAGAGGCAACCTCATGACTTAATTACTTAATGACTTATTACTTCACAAAGGCTCCATCTCTTAATACCATCCCACTGGGTGTTAGGGCTTCAACATATGGATGGGGGTAGGGAGAGCAGAAACATTCAGTCCACAATACACGGCCACCACATTAAAGTGCACCAGTGGGAAGTTCATGAATCCCATATAAGTGCCTCACCTCCAGGCCTAAATCCCTACGTGAGGTCTTAGGGCCAGTGTATCAGTTTGTAATAAAGAACCACAACCTGCATGGCTTAAACAACAGCAATTTAGGGGCGCCTGGGTGGCTCAGTGGGTTAAGCCGCTGCCTTCGACTCGGGTCATGATCTCAGGGTCTTGGGATCGAGTCCCGCATCGGGCTCTCTGCTGGGCAGGGAGCCTGCTTCCCCCTGACTCTCTGCCTACTTGTGATCTCTCTCTGTCAAATAAATA